TATCAGAGATCATGTCCGCAGAGTCCTAAACCCCTAAACCCCTAAACCCTGAGCCCTGAAACCTGAACCCTAAACCCTAAACCCCTAAACCCTAAAACCCCTAAACCCTAAACCCTGAGCCCTAAACCCTAGGTTTCATGGCCAAGGTAGTCCTGCTCAGCCGGCTTCGTCGGACGGTTCATGGGGCAAAAGCCCCCTTGAACCCGTGACCTTCAAGATTCAGAAATCCTGTACATTATATTATATTACCTTTGTTTATTGTTGTTTCTTTAGTATTGTTATTCGTATTTTAGAGGCATTTTTCTTATGATTGTTCTTCTTCTTATTATGATCATTGTTATTTCTGTCTTCTTAAAATTATCACTGCTATTGATCGTATTTTTGTATTGTTATGCGGATACATGTTGCTATCACTGAGTAAGTGTATCACTATGGAAAAACCGAGGTCCAAACAACTTCCATGCATCTGACAGCCCAAATCTCATATTCCTAAACCCTGAAACCCTAAACACCAAACCCCTAAACCCTAAACCCTAAGCTCTTGCAACGACAGCCAACACAGTCTCTGCATAGATTCTAGAGGCGAGCTCATCTCCCCAACGCTCAACCCTGGTTTAGGGGTCGAAATAATTGAGGGTTTAGGGTTTAGGGTTCAGGGAATTGCCCACATCAGTCCTTGGGGTTGCTAGTAAGATTATAAGGTCCCCCCAAGAGCCCTATTCACCTGTTCTGAGTATCAAGATTAAGCACCCCAGCCCTAAGCCCGTCAAGTCTTAGACACCCCAGCCCTGTAGCCCGAGCCTTGTAATGCGACACACTGGTCCGCATAGCCGTCATAACCCTCCGAATGGTAGGTAGTTCTAGCCCTGGACCGTCCCCGACCCTCAGAACCCTGCAAACGAAATCCGGAATCCTAGAGCCCTACAAAAACCCTAAACCGCGACATCTGAGCCCTCGAGTCTTGAGTAGACCGTGGGCGGGACGTAGGGGACCGGCCGGGCAAGACCTTGAGTCTTACGTTTAGGGTTTAGGGTTTGTATGGTTTCGGGTTTATAGGGTTTAGTGAAATTTGTACGGGGAGTCCCGGATTTTGCAGTCTCTAGGATAGTAGCGTTGTTGATACATTGGGACCACTGGGGGCCACCGTATCGCGTGGGCCCGCCTCAGAAGGACCGCCCTAAAACCCAAGACCCTAGACGGGCCCATATACTACAAGAACTTTAAAACAAGAAGAACAAGCACGGTCCCAAAATCTGCAGTACGACTGCCATCTCCATTAAGCAACATGTGCTGATGTCAGCATAAACAGCCTTGTTGTGTCTATACAACCCTACGAGAACTAAGATTCGAAGGTTGGCTCCTAAAGTTCGCATTTTGGGCTAGGGTACTCAGCCCCTATAAGAATTTGTGGTTTATTCCCTAAACCCCTACGTCCCGAACCCTAAACCTACACCCCTAAGCTCCATATCCTAAACCCTGGTCCATGTCGATTTGGGAGCTATCGGGTTCGAGTCTGTAGGCGCGGTCCCCAAGCTGCCACCTTTGAAGGTGGGATCAGGAGGTCCCTCAGCAAGTGGACTTAGAGGGCTTAGGGTTTAGGGTTTAGGTTGAGGGCTTAGTGGAGGAGTTTTAAAATAATTGAGGTTCGGTGTCTGTGGCTTCGGGTTTAAGGCTGAATCCACTGGCGTTGAGGGCTCAATCCGGCACTGGTTTGTAGCGAAAAGGGCCCTCCATGCAAGAGGTGTTGGAGGTTTGGTCGTATCTTCAGAAGTTGGCAGCATGCCACGCCCAAGCTATAGGTGCAGATGCGACACTCGACTGCTGTTGGCGGTTCTGCGCGGTACAAAAGATTTTGTCCTGCCTGAAGCTTTTCAATCCCGACGCCCTGAAGCTCCCAAACCCTAAACCCTGTAGTTCAACCCTGAGCCCTTAAACTCCTAAGCTCTGAACCCTGGAAGCCTTAAGCCCCCGAGCTCCACCGCCTAACCCTTGCCTTGATCCGCAACGAAGCACGTTTAGGGAAGTTTAGGGTTAGGGTTGAGGAAGGGCCTTAAGACCAAAGCGATAGTGTTTAGGGTCGAGGGTTATACTGTTTTCGGTCAGGAGACGTGATCGTAAAGTCTTATAAAGACCCGTAGCTCACTAAACCCTGAAGCCCCAAACCCTAAACCGTAGACCCTAAACCCTAAACTCTAGACCTCAATGGCTGCTGCACCTCAAGGTTCGCCGATTTGCCACAGGCACGCGAAGCCTGAACAGTTGCCAATACCATTGTGGGGATTCCTTAGTATAGTTGTAGTATATAAACCCTAGACTAATGATCAAGGCCCTGATAGTACACATCATGCCTACGTTGGGGTCTAGCATCTATAATTTACCCTGAACATTTATGCATAATACTCTCTCTCTCTCTATATATATATATAAGTATCTATATCTACTATATATATATATAATAGTAAACTGTTTCTCGTACTTTTGGCTTGACTTCAGAGTCCGACGTTTGGTTGTAAGCGGCTCTTTAGGTTCTTGAGGGGCTTAGGGGGCTGAGGGTTTAGGCTTAGGGTTTGGGGCTTCGGGTTTGGGGGCTTTGGGTTTAAGCTTCGGGGTTTGGGGGCTTAGGGTTTAGGGTTCCTAGTTTGGGGGCTTAGGGTTTAGGGTTCGGGGTTTGGGGGCTCAGGGCTTAGGGGTGCCGTGAAGACGGGCAGCTAAACTGCTAACACATGTAAGATCGAAGAGCTGTGGCGTTCAGGAGTTAGCGGTAGGTTATTCAGGGTTCTGCGGTTTACTTCGGCAGTTTCTAGCCTTCCAAAAAGCCTTGCCAACACTAGCCACGAACCACACGCCTGAACGCCACGCAAATGCTTCAGCAAATGGGATTGCCCAGACAGGGTCTCATGAATTTACGTCTACAGGTACTACAAGAGGATACTATTCCGAGGCTTCCAA